TAGGATTGGAAAATGCCATTTCCCCCCTCTCCTCCCTGACACTGTTTTCAGGCATCTGTAGCTTTATAAGGGAGTGGTTTGGTGAACTTACTGTGGTTTATTCTTGTGGGGAAAGCTGGTGTGATAGCCTGCAGTAAAGAGTCTGTTGGTGTGTGTTTTTTTTTTTTTTTTTTTCCTTATCCTAATGATAATACAGTCCTTGTAGCTATGTTTTCTATTTGGAGTGAGCAGCTTTGATTCCTCTAGTTGCGTCTCTCTTCAGCTGTTACAAGCTGCTGAGGTGATTCCTTGTGTGCCAGAGGAGCTGACAGCTTTCCTGGAGCTCCTCTGGCTCTGGGCATCTCGGCACAGAGGTGGGATGGCATGACAGGGCTGCTGAATCCTTGTGGCTCATGTAACGTGAGAGGCATGAAACTTGGCAGCTTTAGTTTGAGAGAGAACTGATGAGACCCCTCTGGAGGAATGTTCTCTAAGCTGGTATTTGATTTCCCCTCACATACTGAATATTTTGAATGTATTGACCTTCTGGGTGCATGCAAGATGACTCTGTTCAGGCTGTGCAGGAATCCTCAGAAATGTGGACTCCTGCTCTGAAGGTGCTGATACTCTGGGTTGCTGATGCTTTGACTTCAGTTAGCATAATCTGATTTTGACTTTGGAACTCCATTGTTTGATTCAGAATAGAGTGATTTCTCCTGTTTTGGGCGTTTGGGGTTTGAATTACTCACTCATCTAACTGTTGTTTTGCATACACATTGTATGGTGGATACTTAACCTAAAAGGGATCTTAGCAAATATGTTTGGAATTATTTAAAGAACTTATCTCTTGTATTTTTTCTTTGAAGGACATAAATGTGTTGCCCTTCATATAAAAGAAAAATATGAAGAGAAGCATCTATTCACCAAGTTATCCTAACAGTGAGCTTCAGTATGTTGTTATTTTACTGAATCTGTGGCTATGATTAGATTTACTGCTTTCTCAAGTAGCTTTTTAAAATGTATCTTTTCCATTATGTAGTCTTACAAAGAAACATACAAGTATCACAGAATCACAAAACGGTTTAGGTTGGAAGGGACCTCTGGAGATCATCTCGTCCAACCTCCCTGCTCAAGCAGGGTCCTCTAGAGCATATTGCCCAGGATCACATCCAGACGGGTTTTGAATATCTCCAGCGAAGGAGACTCCACTACCTCTCTGGGCAACCTGCTCCAATGCTCTGTCACCCTCACAGTGAAGAAGTTTTTT